TGGTTCAGGACACACCAATTGTTCCATGTGAAGTTAAGGAAATGTTGTGATCTTGAGGGAGTCCTGCAAAAGTGGCTGGTGGCTCTGCACCTGGTGAGATAGCAGCAGCTGCTGGCCAAATCCTCTTCCTGTTATCAAATGGTAGGGGATGTGGGGATATTTCTAAACGAAGGCTCTTCAAGAGCAACAGCTGTCTCTTCGTTTTGGATGTCCTGAAAAGCTTCCCCACAATGCTGCTTTCACTGGAAAGAAGTTTTAAGCCTATTTTGCCATAATCATTGTTATTCGGGAGATGGTCTGGTATAAAAGAAGGGTCAGTGGGCTGGAGGCAGAAGGAAGCCTGGTTCTTACCCAAACTCTGCCACTTCCTAGGAAAGGTGACCTGTCCAAAGTCACCCTGTGAGTAAATGCCTGCAGTTATTAAAATGATTCACCCCCCTTCCAGAAATCTGTTCTTAAAATAAAGATTTAAATGGTGTTGGATGAATGGTTGGGAGATAAGAGCTCTCAAGGTCTGTTACTTATCATGGCAAATCTCCACTTTATGAGACACAAACTATTTTGAATGTACAAGTTGAAAAGAAAGGACGATTTGCCTTTCTTAAGTCAACTTGAATACTTCTCCTGGAGCCCTCTTGGCTCCAGTGGGTTGTAAGAGGAACTATTGTTCCCTTACTTTTCTACTGTTTACCTTTTCCTCTCAGGAAGTGGCCTGTGTAAAGGCAGAAAGATTGATACACAAAAGCCTGTGCACAGCCCCTCCTTCCTGGTCCCCAGCCTTTGCTGAATTTAGCCTATTCTTTTTTCATCCTTGTCACCTTTGGTCAGTTAGCATGAAGAGAAGATAAAACCAAGCATCCTCAGAGGGGAATGCCAAAGTCATTTTTCCATTCCCACTTGTAGGAGTGTTGGTAAGCTCTGAGCTAATTCCTAGTCTTGGAGCTGAGATGGCTTAGATTAAAGCCTGGAGATAATTGAATGAAGCTCTTCCCTGCCTCCCACTACCACAGTGGCAGATACCTTGGTGAAAGTCAACTGTCAGCCCCTAACTCCACATAGACAGACACACTCACAGGTTAGGACAAAAATCTCCAACTTACAAAGTAATAGTTTCAGCATCTGGTTTTAGAGAGCCTCTAAAAGGGACTTGGATAATTTACTTCTGTTTTTAAAAAAATAAGGCTGTGTTTTGGGACAAGTTGCTTATACACCTATGGGCATGTCTCCAATGTCTTAGCTATTAAGGTCTTTAAGCGACAGTTTAATATGTTTTTAAGATTGAGGGAGCCAACGACAATTCTCAAGGAGCTATGTTTATATTGGATCAGCTCACTGGGGTGATGTGCCAGCAGTTTTGCACACTGCAGGAAGTGGAGGTGAAAGCAGGAAGGGCTGAGTACAGAGGGAAGGACTAGCCTGAAGACAGGAAAGCCAAGAGGGATGTGATGTAGAGCAGCATGGAGGGAGACACCCAGTTGGACCTGGCAAAGCACTCAGAAGTAACATCATTTAATGCCCCATGGGCATTGTGTTGAGGGGTGAGAATTTCTAATTGGCTCCAATGGAGCCATCCCACTGGTGACCGCTCAGTCAACCATGAACAGGCTCTTAGCTCTCTTTCTTCTAGTCCCTTCTAAATCGCTGCAGATGGCTCCTTAACAGTCAAGGGGTCTGTATTCTTGCAGAGCCTAATAGACTTCAGTACATTTTCTCTGCAACCTCTAATAAGGAGCTTGATCCCTCTGGGCCTCAGTTTCCTTATCTAAAAAGTAAGGAGCTCCAAGTCCCCTTCCAAGCCCAAAATTATATAAATCCAAAGTGAAATGCTCAATAACTGACAATCCACATTCAGAAGGAATGACCATTCTACATAAGCAGATTTTGCATCTGTTGGGTGAGAATGAAGGCAAGAGCATTTGGTCATTGTCTTAGTTTGTCAAAACTGAACAATGACTTAGGTTCAGCTGAATGAAAGTTGGGTGCTCTTCAGATGGGGCAGTTATAAATAAAAGTGTCTTTCATTCACCAAAAGACTCCTTTCAGCATCCATGCACTTACTGAAATGTACCACCACCACCCAGGACTGCAGTGGCTAACTTTAAGTGCTCATATGCCTCAGCCTTTTACGTCCATCATCTCACTTAATTATCACAGCCACCTTGGGAAGCAGATGCTGTTACTGTTTCTTCAACTTTCAAATGAGGTGAGGACACAGATTCAAAGCTAATTAGCTTGCCCAAGAGCAAGCAGCTAGTAAGTGGTGGAGCTGAGACTTAAACCAGATCTGAAGCCAAAGCCTGCACTAATAACTTGCATTCTTACTAAACAAGAACAAATCCATAGCCAAAATTGGTTTTACTAAGAAAAATTGCATTTGGCCTTCAAGGCCCCTTGTTACCAAGAAATGTTGGCAATTTCACCATTCTCAGGGAACTGTGTGCTAGGAAACCTTCTCTTTCCCAATAGAAAAAAAAAAAAAAAATAGTTCAAGAGCAGCCAGTGGCAGTATTTTACTTAGCAAGGAAGAGAGAAGTTGGGGAACTTCTATGCTCTGCCACGCCATATGTATGTGGTCCCTAGTGAGTCTTTCCCCATCCTGTCTGGGGTTGGTTAGATGACCTTTAAGTCTAGTCCAGTTTTTCGATTTTATGTTCTCTGCTGAAGATCTTTTTATGACTTTCCAGTTGGTGGGGGTTCCTGCCCCAACCCCCTTGGGGGAAGGGCAATGGAGACAGCCTGTATGCCATTTTAAACCATTTCTCATTTTGTAAATAGGTCCCTTATAGCTCTAAGAGTCTATGAAATTGTTTCAAAATGTCTAAGTGCGATTATGCATCCTGAAGCCCAATGTTATAACCCCCACCCCACTGTTGCAGCTTTAAAAAGTAAATATGCAGTAAAAGCTTTTCAGCATGTTGCTGATATCCCATAGTACTTAAACAATTCTGTGACATTCAGTCCAGCAAGTTGAGCTTCTCTACTCTCTTCTCTCCCCTCTACTTTTTGAGTTGAAGGCATTGGTTAATCTACATAATGGTGATCTTCCTCCTGATTGTGGCAGTATCAAGAGGTAAAAAAAAAAATCTGCCCTTTCATCTCTACCCACCACATTCTTTCTCTAAGCCTGTAATTGGATCTAAATGGAAAACAAACCCTTTGCAGGCCAAGGAAGTTGGCACTAGGGGGTGACAAGAAGGAGAACATGTTCTCCCTCTAATCAGGATAATCACACTCCCCTATGCAAAGGAAAATAAAAACAAGGCTTTCTCCAAGTGGCAACCCAGGCCTGCGGTGAGGAGGGGGAGTTTTCATATACCTCATCTCACTTCACGCAGCAACCATCAACCAGCTTATATTTAAAATACTCAGAATTATTTCACTTTCCGGAGAACAATGAAACTCTGCCACCTTTTGCCCTGAACTATTCTGTATCTGAACTTGGGGAAGCAGTTCAGACACACAAATATCAGTGCTACAGGTTAAAAAATAATAATGCATAAAATGAAGCCTATGCAAACAGTGTGGTCTTAGCTGGACAGATATTCTCATGGCTCACTCATAGGTTTTTGAGTTCTGTGTGTGTGGCATGGTATGCTATGTTGGGACAGAGATGAGCAAGGCAGGTTTGCCCTCAAGGAGTCCAGAAAAATGTGTAGAGAAATAAAAGCATTGCATGCATAACTCACTACTAGGTAGAAATTAATAGGCATCTTCTAAGCATCTAAAGTGCTACAATAATTTCTGTAGAAGGGTAAATGACTTGATTCTGCAAATAGCCTGGCAAATGCAATGAGGCATGATACATTCCAGAGAAATGCCCAGATTCACTGACTTGATACACATTTAGAAGGATCCGCTGGACTCTGTGACAGCATCTGGGCAGATTGTCTGTAGAAGAGCACAGCTACAAATTAGATGGGGAATGCTGTGCTTCCAAGTGGCAGTTTGCCTCTTTAGTTTGATTCTCACAGTCTTTTCCCCCCCTCTCATTCTACCCTGCACGTTAATGGCGGATGTTTAAGGAAGACTTTGCCCTGCAAGACTAAATCCTGTGAAATCTGAGTTTAACAGTTACTGCTTTGGGAAACTAATTCAGTGTCAATATCCCTGCTACCACTGCTGTGAGGGGGTTTAGGCCTATCATTCCCACATCAGAGACAAGGAAACTGAGGCTCAAATAAGTGACTTGGCGAGTACTGTGCAGTTAAGAAGTGGCAGGGACTGAGTCTGGATGCCTAGGGTTTTCCTTAAGGTCAGCTGCTTGCTGGGACCAACTCTCTGTGAACCCGGGCCTCAGTTTCCCCATCTATAAAGCCTAGGTTGTCTCTCTGTTCCCTTCCTGTTCACATGTTCTCTAAGTCTGTGCCCTCTCTCAGCTGCATTCAGGTAAGCAACAAAGAGTATTGGAGCTATAGGCACAGCTGCAGGCTCCTGTGCAGGAGTTTACCAGTGACCTTCTGGGCTCCGGGCCAGCCCTTCTTGAAAGGGAAATGTGCAGACCCTGGGGACAGAAGTCAGTTCCCTTATGCTGGAACGGCTGCCACTGCCAACACCACCAACTAAAGAAACTGTGTGTGTGTGTGTGAGTGTGTGTGTGTGTGTGTGTGTGTGTGTGTGTATCGGGGGAAACACACAAAACACAGAAATAATAGCAAAAGGCAGACTCTGGGTAAATATTACATGCCCCCAACCCTTAATTCAGTCACCTGAGGACACGGAGTGAGGAAGCTAGGGATTTTTCCTTTACATACCATAAGTTTACCAGTTAATTTTAACTAGCATCACCAAAGACATAAGACCCTTTGAACATTATTTTACACAACAATGGGTTTGGGATGTGTGTGCCTGTTGGCTCAAACATATATTCCCAACTACTTGTTTTCCATGCAGTTTTGGAATTTAAAGAGTTTCCTTCCCATTGGGAAGTTTCTGCCAACAGATGGGAAGGGGAAACAAGGAAAAGAAAGAATCTGGGTAAATACGGACAACTTTCCGCTCACCTTTTTAACTGCTGGGTTGAGGTCCTTAGTCACCTTTGCCATCCTCTTCTGGGGTGGAGGAACAGCGCCTGGCTTCTCAGGCAGAGGCGCGAGGGCACACAGCGGGGACAGAGGCGGCTGAATGGCCAAGTTCGCGGTCCGGGGGGAACTCTGTGTGCAGCCGGGCGCAGCCGGACCGCTTTAATTGGAGAGCGGGACTCCCTCTAAAACCTCGCCAGCCAATCCGCGCCGGCGCTCGCGCGAGGCCAGCCAATCCCAACGCGAGGCTGTCCCCGTCCCTCCAGGCGGTCTCTGCACGGAGGCCGCTAGCAGAGCTGAGCGCTAGCAGCTCTGACATCAGCAAGGCCGCGGCCCCTGCCTGCCCCGTGTCCCTAGAGCGGCAGGAATCCGTCCCCCGCCCTTTTCCTTTAAAGGGCAACGGGCCGAGGGTGGGGCGGGCTGCACGTCTCCCGCGATCCATTCAGGTCAAAAGGGAGAGTGATCCAACAGGAGGGCCGAGGTATTTTTAGTGAGCTGGATCCAGAAATAAATGCTGAGCTGTGCTCCCCTTGCCACCCTTTCTGCCTGGTCGTAGGGGGCGCGGGGAGGGATGGGGGAGGAGGTGTTTTGCAGGAGCTGGCTAACTTTTCCCAAACCTGGGCGAGTTCTCCAATCACCAGAGAGAAGAAGAGATTCCAGCGAGTTATGATTTTTTTTAAACTTAACATTTGTCAAGTATTAAACTGCGTTCTTATAACTTGCTTTAACATAAATCCTCCCTATTCCATGAGCAAGAACACACTGTCCTGATCTTAGAGATGCTCCTATGGACACATTGTCTCGTTGTATGCTCATAATTATCTCAGGTATTATTATTATGACTCTAAGGCGATAGATGAGGTAATAACCAGACAGAATAACCGGTCCACAGCTGAACTCTTGAGCAAGGCTTTAACCTGAGAGACTGAGTAATAGAGACAGCGCTCATGTCGGGGGTCGGGGTGGGGGCACAGGATTATAAATTAGAAACTAGGAAGTTAGTAATTTTTAGATAAATGGGGTCATGCAGGCCCGGACAAACAAGATTCCATCTGAGCTCACAAATCCTTGGAATGTGGAGACCTTGCAACACATAACATAACTACTCTTATAAGACAGAATTGGCCAGGTTCCTCTCTCTATGCCGTGTTGTTTGCCTATAAAGCCACATCTCTCTGCTGAGTGGGTTCCGCAGACGTGGATTCCCAGAGGCATTTCCCCGCTGCCCCTATAGAGGATTAAACACAAGCCCTTTTTATCCTAGAGAGAATACTACTGTCTCTGTTGTGAGGTGTTCGGCCTGTAACCTGTCTTTGCAGTGCCCCCTGCCAGAAACCAGGATTCCTGTGGGCTAGAATAAAACTCGGTTGCACAGAGACTGAAGAGTGGTCCAAAAGTGCACTATTCGGGAGGGATTTGGGGAGAGGGGTAGGCTGCAGTTCTCATTCTGGGGCTGTCTCTTGCTGGAGCCTTTTTCCTCTGAAAGCCTTCTCTAATTTAGTTCTTATCATCTCCAGTCTTCCCATGACTGTTTTTTTTTGTTTTGTTTTTTAACACATTCCTGGAAAGGGCTTTCCATTTGGGGATTATCTTTTCCAAGATGAGGATGACCTATTCTTTCTTTCACAGATTTCTGCTATAATTGATTTTTGCCTTGTTTGCTCCCAGCTATGTCCTCAAACACCTAGCATGTGTTACAGGCTCAGTACTGCAAATGAATAGAGGTTTGGTTCTGACATATGTGTGTGTGTGTGTGTGTGTGTAATGAGTGTGCCTGTGATAATTTTGATACATGCTTACAATGTGCAATGATCAAATCAGGGTATTTAGTAGGATTTCCATCACTTTGAACATTTATCATGTCTTTATCTTGGGAACATGTCACATCTCTTTTAGCTTTTTTTTCTGGAGATAGAGTCTCGCTCTGTCACCCAGGCTGGAGTGCAGCGATGCAATCTTGGCTCACTGCAACCTCCCAGATTCAAGCGATTCTCCCACCTTAGCCTCCTGAGAAGCTGGAACTACAGGCACGAGCCACTGTACCTGGCTCATTTTTGTATTTTTAGTAGAGACAGGTTTCACCATATTGTCCAGGCTGGTCTTGAACTTCTGACCTTAAGTGTCCTCCTACACTGGCTTCCCAAAGTGCTAGAATTATAGGAGTGAGCCACTGCACCCAGCCTTTTTAAGCTGTTTTGAAATACACAATGCATTGTTGTTAACTATAGTCAACCTACTGTGCTATTGAATGCTACATTTTTCCTACTATCAAACTGTTTTTTCCCATTAACCAACCTCTCTTTATCCCCGACACTCCAGCCCACCACTCCCCAACCTCTGGTAACCTTCTTCAACTCTCTACCGCCATGCAGTAAGCAGGCAAGGTAAGAATAGGGAGAGATGGTGCAATGGCACACCTGGCCTGGTTTGTCCAAACTTCCAAGGTGGCCTGCATGTTAAACCAGTATGTAAATAAACAGTGGCCAACAGAAGCCTGGCCTGGGAGAGGAGGTTTCCACGTGAATAGTCCTTTCAGTAGCAAATCCTAGGAACAATAGTGCTAAATCAGGATGTCATGCCAGAAGCCTTTTTATTTCAGAGCTATGGGAATAGAAGCCAGGAATACAACAAAGGCAAGCTTTATCCCTTTCAAACCAGGCAAAAGCCTGCCCAGTGAAATCATTTCCCACTCCCTTCCCAGCCACCCTCCTTGCCCCATCTTGAAAAATCATCGTTCCATGGAATAATGCTAATTTTATTAACTTGAACACTATTTATTAAGAGCTCCAACCACCAGACTTTCTCCTCCTCTTTTTTTGAGACGGAGTTTCGCTCTTGTTACCCAGGCTGGAGTGCAATGGCGCGATCTCGCCTCACCGCAACCTCCGCCTCCTGGGTTCAGGCAATTCTCCTGCCTCAGTCTCCCGAGTAGCTGGGATTACAGGCACGCACCACTGTGCCCAGCTAATTTTCTGTATTTTTAGTAGAGATGGGGTTTCACCTTGTTGACCAGGATGGTCTCGATCTTTTGACCTCGTGATCCACCCGCCTCGGCCTCCCAAAGTGCTGGGATTACAGGCTTGAGCCTCCTCCTCTTATTTTTACCCTTGGCTCCAGGTACAATTAAGGAGACAGATGTTGCAGCTGTTTCTCAGAATTTCTTAGAATAGGAGTGTCAGGAGCTGCTGCTTGGGGTGGCCCATTTCCTCCTTTCTGGAAAAAGACCTTCTGTAGGCAGAGAGGGGGGTCTCTGCTCTCTGCTAGAAGTTGCTGTCTCCCCAGCTGAGGATTCTGACTTTTATACTTTAAACCCTACACTTGACCCACTTGTTCCAGGGGACCTATATTCAGAGACTTAGCCAGACACCTGGACAGATTACTACAATTTGGGACTTTTCAGGAGAATGGGGGAAATACAGTTATTGTACCTGAGCCACACTCTAGCTCTGAGATCCTCTTTACTCCTCTTTGGAAGAAAATTGGATATATTTTCCAAGATGAAACAGCAGAGATCTGATTTCTCCAAAGGTCATTGATTTTTGACACTGGGGCTTATTAGAAGCATTCATTAATCTGTCAAGCAGTTTTGGGGTACTTTCCATAAGCCAAGCCCTCTGATATGTGTTGGGGACATCAAGGTAAATAAAAGAATACTTCTCCTTGGAGAACATCTTGGTCTAATAACTATTTCTGGGGCTCTCTGGTTGACAGAGCCCTAATATTACTTGAACTCCAAGACAACCAGTCTCAGAGAAAGCAGAAATCCCAAAGAGTCCCAGGGCTGTAGGGTCATACAACTAGCAGGTGGCAGAGCTGAAATTTAAATTCAGTTTTTAATTTCAGATTGTGCCCTTTCACCTACCTATACTGCACTGCTTCCATAATGATTGCAGTTGGTTGATTATAAGCAAAATAGGAATCACTTGGATTAAGATGCTGCTGCTGCTGTTGTCATCGTTATCACTGGGCTTGTCCTAACCGGGATTCTTAACTCTGAGTCTTGTATTCTTTTTACCATTCATGAATGAATTAATTAAACAAAAAAATATTGAATTGGGAAATACTATGGGTTAGGCCCTGAGCTGAGGATGCAACAGTGAATAAGACAGGAAATGTCCCTGGCCTCATATAACTTCTATTCTAATATGTGTAGGGGGAGACAGGCATTAAACAAATAGACAGATATTTAGATAAGGTAATTAAAGATGGCAGTGAATGCCTAGGAGGAGATAAGTGGAGAAATTCACTGGATGCAGTCCTTTTAGATCAGGGGTCTAGGAAGCCTGGCTGAGCAGCTGGTGTATGAGCTGAGCCTCAAAGAAGAGAATGAGTCAGCTGTGAGTTGAGTCCCCATGGAGAGAACATTCCAGGAGGATGGGGTCATGAGAGCAGAGACCTTGCGGTGGGTGCAAGCTTGGTGTGTCTGAGGGATCATGAAGTCAGTGTGGTGGGACAAGGAGAATGGTATGAGGGGCCTCAGGTGAGGGAGGCAGGAGCTGGCTCATGTGGGCACTATAATCCATGTTACATTCTCTCCTGGAAATGGCAGAAGGTTAGACATCAGTGCTTTCCCACTGGAACATAATGCAAGCCGTGTATGTAATTTGACAATTTCTAATAGCCATAGTAAAATAATAAAAAAGAAACAGGTGAAATCGTTATTATATATTTTATTAAACCCAATATAACCAAAATGTGGTCATTCTCACCTGTGATTGATATAAAAATAATTGAGATGGTTTACACTCTTTTTTTTGTGCTTTGTCTTTGAAATCTGGTGTGTGTTTTACACTTACAGCACATCTCTCTTCAGATTATCCACATCACAAATACTCAGTAACCACATCTGGCTGGTGGCTACCATCTAGCTACCATCAACTGCATCTGGCTGGTGGCTACTATATTGACCGGAACAGTTATAGAGAGTCTTAAGCTGGGGAATGACAGTGTCTGATTTACTGTGTTACTCATTGCAGGGACACCAAAAGGTACTAATGGAAAGCCAGCCGGTAACTCACAATGTCTTAGTCTTAGATGGAGAAGCTGAGCAACTGGAAACTGGTCATTAATTGGTGCAATGTGGTCTACCATGCATTCCAAACACTGCACTGGGAGGCAAAAGTGATTTTCTGAGAGTCACAAAGCTAGAAAGGGGCAGAACTAGAAAGATCTTGAACC